GGGCGGTGGAGAGATCGATTAATGGCGGAGGAAGGGAAGTCGACAAATAAATTGGATTTTTTTTAATTCTTTATTGACGTGGCATTCCACATGTACATTTGGTTGACGTGTTGCTGATGTGGAGGTCGGATTTTGTCCTTGTCAGCGTTCTGTCAAACGATTTAACGGAGTCACAGACGGTGTTAAAGTTTCTAACGGAATTGGCTAGATTTGTCACACTACCCTCCGTTTTTTGGGCTATTTCGTGTTTTCGAATAGATATGGCTATATTTGTCAAAAACGTGAAAGTTATGGCTATACAAGTGTATTTTGCCTAAATTATATCAAATCTTATCTAACATATGAGTTATAACATATAATATTACACCAAAATAACATATCGTATATAGATCCAACATATAGTGAAAATTCACACACTTATATAACATAAATATTCAAATGTTCAACTTAGCATTCCAAAAATTGAGCCAGGCGAAAAGAAAAATCGGAAAATAGGGGCATTTCGCAAACCAATGAAAAAAATGACACAATTTGACCTCCAATCCGGTACCTTGTAGCGGTCGGCCCGGCGAGTGCGTGCGGCCCGTTTTTCTCATCGGGTCAGGGTCAAAGTGGGTCGACCCGCGGGTCAACCCACGGGTTGACAACCTTGCTGGGAAGCGAACTTGATTGGGCTTGGGCCCCTCAAGCTAAGGTCCAAGGATTGGTAGTTCCTATAAGCCTCAAGCTGGGCTTAATTAAATAGAAAAACGAGCCCACAGAGCATCCCTCTGGTCCCGCAAAAAAACTGCTCTCTTTGGAGAAGCGAAAATTGAAAATTGCAACCGATTACTAACCAATCAAAACAGAGGGAAAAATACCAACGATCACTTTCGATTCACTGAGAGCCACAAAAAATCAAGCTGAGCTCCTGGGCCGCGGAAAAATGCCTGCACCATTTCCACACTGTTGTTCTCTCCAGATCAACAACACCTGTGTTCCAGGAGGAAGGGAGAAAATAGGAAAAGAGAAAGGCTGGGGAGGAGCAAAAATGGCGAAATTCACTCTGAAAGCTGAGAACTTTTGCTCCTTCCTTCCTCAAACTACTAGTACTACGGTCGGGAAAGCCTTTGCCTTTCGGGACAAATCGGTCGGCGGCAGTTACTTTCAGCTGTCTCCGGTGAGACCCAGTTCGTTGAAGTTTAGAGTTTTGTGTGGCATCAGAGAGAAAGATGGTGTCAAAAAGGAAGGGGAGACGGTTCCTGCTGTTGCTCCTTCTCATCAGGGTGTCAATGGAGTCCGGGTCGGCGAGGCTAAACAGGGTCGACTCGGTCGTGGGGGTGATGGTGGAGGAGAAGTGGGGTTTGATTGGAATTGGCCGCCGTGGAAGAATCTTCCTCCGAGATACAAGCTTATTGGGACTACTTCACTTGCCTTTGTTATCTGCAACATGGATAAGGTGGGATGGGTTGGTTTTAATTTTGAGTTTGGTGACTGATGTCTAGTTCTTGGTTAAGTTGAACTGTGAAAGTTTGAGTTTTTTGGTTGACCTTGTTGAGCAGGTTAATTTGAGTGTGGCTATAATTCCAATGTCAAACCAGTTTGGGTGGAGTTCATCCACGGCTGGGTTAGTGCAATCCTCCTTCTTTTGGGGATATGCTCTGAGTCAGTTGCCTGGAGGTTGGCTTGCTAAGAGATTTGGTGGCAGGTAAGTTTATATGAAATTTTAACTTTCTAAAGTCTTTAACTTTGCTCCTTATTTGTTTTCTTTGACCTTTGATATTCATTCATGTTTGAAGATAATGTAATTTGTGGAATGAATTCTCCTGTTATATAAGTAGACGGGCTTAGGAAGTGTGTTCGTATTCAAAGCAAGGTGTTCAAATTGTAACATGATGAATTCAGTGAAACCCGGAAATTAAAGGTGTCATCATTTTTAAGTGTGCAAGCTCTGGGCATTAGAACGTAAAATTTGTGTCACTTCGAATGATGTCTTCTTCATCGTTCTGAGACGAAAGATACATTGGGGACACTTCTGTTTCGCTCACCTGAATGATGGGTTTTCCCTATACAGAAAAGTTCTTGAGCTTGGAGTGTTGACTTGGTCATGTGCTACAGCATTGGTCCCTTTGCTTGCCGGATTCATGCCTGGACTTGTTTTCTCTAGGATTTTGGTGTGTCCCCTATTTCTTCTGAACTTTTATTATATTTGACTTTTGAGTATTTGACTACTACTTGTATGATTTCTCTAGAACAGAAACTTTGAGATTCATCATTCACAACCGGATCAGTGTTGGAGAAATGCTGCTTCACTTCGGGTTTACTTTCTTTTCATGTTGATTTGCTAATGGTTCTCACATAATTATCTCTTTTGCTTATGTTTGTAATCCAGGTTGGTATAGGAGAAGGTGTTTCCCCATCAGCTGCAACCGACCTGATTGCCAGGCATGTAACATGTGCAATTCATTAGGACCATGATCAACATAAAGTTATAGATTACAGTAAGCTTTACTCTTATCCTAATCTATGTTTACTGGAGCAGGACAATACCTCTACAAGAACGGTCACGGGCTGTAGCATTCGTCTTTGGTGGACTAAGTGTGGGAAGTGTAACAGGGTAAAACCTTTTCAACATGGATTTTATGGAAGTTGAAGTATAACTAGATGAAGTTATTATTGTATAAGTCGGTAATTTAAGCTCTCTTGTGCCTAGTGCCTACAAGTGTCAATTAGGTGATGGATTTTTTTTGCTTCCAGTATGTAATTCTCTCAAATGAAGTAAATTAGTGGTCAGTTGACTTTTTATTCCTGCTAGTCATTGCTAACTGTGGAAGTTGAATACCTAAACATGTTTGACTATGTTTCAGGCTACTTTTGGCACCTGCGCTCATTCAGCATTATGGATGGGAATCTGTATTTTACCTGTTTGGCCTATTTGGACTAGCTTGGTAAGTGTTCTTCTTTTTGCGGGTCTAGCTGATTGAGAACCAATTTTGTATCACTGATGGCAGTGTCGTGCTTGTATAGGTTTATAGGATTTCAGACTATGGTCGAACAAGAAGCTTCATATACTGCTGAACCTGCTGCAAGTGAGCACGTAAACATTGTCAGTTAGCATTTTATTGTGCATGTACTGGATTGGTGCTACTTAACTTGTATTATTGACAATGTCGAAGTACCACTAGGCACATAAACTTATTTTATTCGATAATGAGAATCATTCTCTGAGATCATCTTACTGGTGACTGTAACGTTTTCTCATAATGAAACAGATTCATCAAGTCACGAAGAGGAAAAATCGCAAGGTTCTTCTCTTGAGGAGCTTGGTGAATCGATGAATGTATGTTGAATGTCCTGTATATTTTTTTTGCTGCCATATAAATGTCCTGAGGCAGTTGTACCAATATATAGAAGATTATTGATAATCTGGATGGAGCTCCAAATATGTTTATTTTTTCTTAACTATGAATGTTATTTCAAGCTGTTCTTCTCCCATGACTCCCTCTTTATTTCATCTGCTGTTCTTGAAATATAAGGATGTGCCATGGAAACCAATTTTCAAGAGCCCAGCTGTATGGGCAATGATATACGCTCACTTTTGCGGGAGTTGGGGCCACTATAACTGTTTGTCATGGCTTCCTACTTATTTCAGGTACTTTTTTTATTATCCTATTGGTGATTATGTTTTTTCATCACTTGGGCCTAAACTTGAAAATCTGATTGACATTGCATTGCATGCAGCGAGGCGCTGAACCTAAACTTGACTGAGGCTGCATGGGTAACTTGAGTTTTTACCACTGTATTATTCTCTTAAGAACAATGATGCAGATGTGAACTTGTAGACCCACATTATTTATTCCATTGTCTTATATCGGCAAATAATTGGTTTCATTTCTGCACAGTTCTCTCACTTAAGAACATTTACCTTGTCAAACATTTTCAGGTGTCGATTCTTCCTCCCTTGGCTTCAGTTTTTGTGACTAACCTCGCAGCACAGTTAGCTGACAAGTTGATTTCCAGTGGAGTTGAAACCACAACGGTATGGGGAAGAAAGAAAGACTCAGTAACTAATTTGTCATGTGCACTGTTAACTTAATACTGCATGGTCTCTTTGTATATATGACTTAATTTCCATGTGAAATCCTTGGCAGGTACGGAAGTTTTGTCAAACAGTTGGTTTTTTGGCTCCTGCACTTTGTATGATCCCTTCCGCTGTGGATTTGGGACTGCATCCATGGCAAGTTGTGGGGATCCTCACAGCTGGCTTGGCCCTCTCAAGCTTTTCCTTGTCTGGTAAGTCATTTAACTTTGACCACAGAAAACCAGCAAGCATTGACTTGTTTTTCTTATGTTGTTTCTTTCTTTTTCATAGGATTGTACTGTACACACCAAGATATTTCCCCTGAATACGCAAGCATACTCCTGGTATAACCACAGACCCTTAAGTTTGTAGTTTAGGTGTTATAAAACATTGCATTAGTAATCATTCTATTATTTTCATCCCCCATTGTCTGTTCATTTTCATGATCTCAGGGTATTACCAGTACTACTGGAGCAGTCCCTGGAATTGTAGGTGTTGCCTTGACCGGCTACTTACTAGATACAACTCATTCATGGACAGTAAGTACCAAAATTTGACCGAACTTGGCACTATTTTCCTTCTTCATTCGACTAACCTTATCTTTGTTGATTTGTTTGCTCTAAACCAGATATCATTATTTGCACCATCCATCTTCTTCTACTTGACCGGCACGATTGTATGGTTGGTATTTGCCAGTAGTAAGCCACAAAACTTCTCCCGTTGAGGACATTGATTGTATAATCATGTATAATACGTAGTATAGGTATAGAATCAGTCTTTTTTCTGCCTCTTTTTTTGGCTAGATGGCTTGAAGGTTGAGTAAGTGCTCGGTTGGCTGGCAACACATATGTACTACCACATCTTTGCATCTCAAGGTTGTATCATTTGTACATTCTATTGAAAATCTCCATACCACAGAGCTTCATATTTTGTCAAGGATCTTTCTCTTATATTTTCACTTCATTAAAAATCAACATAAAGAAGGGATGATTTATCCCCTCTCTTATTGTCTTCTTAATCAATCACTCTAGTGGAACCAAATTTCCAGTTCCCATGCTACTAGCTACCTACCTGCAAGCAGGAAGAATATACGGGATACGAGCAAACACAATCGAAAGAGGAGCTACTGATATCAACTCCGATGAGTTTACACGGGAAGGCTCGAACGAAGGTATGTCCCCGTTTGAATCTACACTTAAAATCTTCCCGTTCAGTAGCATTGTTTGGCTATGCAAATCCCCGTCTTTCGCTGTTAGATGGTACTCTTCTCTCATCATTTTTCCAATCTTTGAACGATGAGGAAGCCGAATGGTACTACTGTATGACCTATGATGACTATGGTGCTTGTGCCACTTCTGGTTGTTATGTTGCTGCTGGGTGAAGGTTCTGTTGACGCCTACGTTGACTTCAAATGTTGTGCTGTTGTCCAGATTGATCAGTAGAAGTGTAAATCGTTTCTGCAGCATCGTGGTGCATCTCAAATCAGAATCAAGATCTACTCTTTGGATATGTCACAGAAAGGATGGAAATAGAAGAAGACTTACGGAGTACTTTGAGCAGTGAGCATATACTCGTAACTTGTTCGACCCAGAGAAGCTCGTTGCCAAAGCTTTTCGTCCCATCAATCGATGCCAAAGAAGAGCACTGCAAGATATGCAAAGAGAGTAAGCATCGTCCAAGGATATACAAAGTCCATATCTGAGTGCTTGAAAGAGCGTTGTGCAGCTGAATTTCAATCCAGTCCTAGCCTGAAGGACAAGAATGGTGTACCTGTAATAGTCAGGATTAGGCACGAATGTGGTGGTGTTGAGGAGCCCGTAGTTACCACCTATCAGAGATTGTCTGCAGTAAGTCTTTGTATCGTGTGAAGCCGCAAGTGCAAGCTGATCCAAATACCTGGTATGACACCAGCATTAACTCAGATTCTGAGCCTCAACATGGAGAATATCATATATGAATGCTTGAATTGTCACTTACCAAAAGCTATACACAAATGCATTGGAGACGAGATTGTGGCCGCTGTTATAAGCCCCACCAGCCTCACCAACCCATGCAGTTGCCGAGCTTCCAGCGCTCCTGAGGAGGCTCTGTAGGCCTCTAAACGACTCAACCACATTGTCAAGCACACTCGGGTCAAGAATCTTCTCCACGAGATTTGGATCGACTCCTGAGATATAGAAATGAAGTGCTATGAAACCCCATTGTGTATGGAGGAGTTAACAGATGTTAAAAGAAACTGAAGGCACTCAATTACCTGGACCAAGATTGTAAATGTGGTGGGAGATGGCATTCACTGAATTTCCTGCTTTCGTGATCAAAGTTTGGAACCAATTGGTGTCGTAGAATCCTCCTGGTGCGATAACCAAGGGCTTTGGTTCAATCCCACTGTAAATATTCTGCACAATGTCATGCAGGGAGATTGTATCAGAAGCATACTGATCTGCTGCAACGTTGGTTCCCACTCCACTTCCACTCAGCTCATTTCCTGCTCAAGCCGAGAAACAACAAATCCGGTTACTTAACTGAATCACAGGATGTTTTTAAGTTTGAAGGCTGTTGATCTTACCAAGCTCCCACCCATGAATGGAGTAGTTATGTCTGACTGTGTAGTTAATGAAAGATTGAGCATTTGAGTAGTTCCAAGCTCCAGCTGCAGAACCATCAGGCTGAATAGTCCTTCCCATTAGAGCATTCAGTCCAAATATAATCTTAGCCCTGAAGACAAAAATGGTTCAGCATTTGAAAAATTTATCCTTTCTGCAATGCTCAAGGAAGTGGGGCGAAAAAAAGTGAGGCACTTTGGGAATTAATTACCCTGATTTGTTGAAGAAGGCATTCAATTCATCCCATCTGTACATAGGCAAGCAGCCTTCAGTGAAACTGAAAAGCTCACTTGTGTTCTTGATGAATTGAACACAAGGCTGGTGGTTGTCTGGTGTGTCGTATATGACTTTGTCCTGTAACGTCCCTCCCAACCTGATCTTCAATGGTGAAAAGGCTGCAATATAAAAAAAAAAATTGAATGTAAGAACAAAGACAGAAAGATGGAAACAATAGTTCCCAGCCTTTTGCCATAAATCAAAACTTCGGTTTTTGCTTTTACCTTGTATTGCCTTCAACAGAATTTGGTTATTGAGATCCTGCAACCAAAATACACAAACAACACTACATTCAAACACTGTTGACCCCAATATTTGATTTTGACCTCTCCTTTGTCTCATCGGTCAAATGTCAAACAAAGCTTCAAACTTCAGAATAAGGAAATGGATGAAGAAAAGAAAAGAAAGAACAAAACTGAGCATTTGGCTGAGAAGCCATGGAAGCATTCCACAAAGAATAACACCAAAGAAGATTAAGAACATGAAGAACATACAAGGTTGATGAGGGAAGTATGGTCCCAAGCGCAGGTCCCATAGTCACATTTCTCAGGAGGCCACCAATCCAAAGTGGCACAAATGAAATCTTCATCAGTTCTCCCAATGGTGTTGTCCCCATCCACCACAACAGTTCCTTGAACAACAGATGAAATGTTACTAGCGCCAGTGACATTATTATTCGTATTATTCCCTCCTTGGCCTTGTGAGCTCACTGAAACAAAGCTCCAGCTTAGGACGCACAACAGAACAACCAAAATCTGAGAACCCATGTCTCCTTTTTTTGTTTTTCTGCCAACCCTTTTTCCCCCCAGCAGAGTTCTGGAACTCAAGATCTGAGCTTTACAATAGAAATGGACAGGGCAGCCATGAAAGTATTACTCTGTCAAAGCTGAGTGGGAGCAAAGGAAAAGGTGGTGGTGGATGAAGAAGAAGAAGAAGAAGAAGATCCAAATGGTTCACGAGAGGGAGGTTTAAATGGAGACATGTGTGGAGATTGAAATACAGCCAGCTAGCCAACTAATAAACCTTGCCTTCTACTGCCCTCGAAGCCCAGCCGTGGGTTAGGAAAAAAGGCGCCAGCAAAAAAAGAAAGAAAAAGATATTTGGTGGCCTGTTCAAAAAGAAAAGGATATTTGGTTGGAAAGGAGAAGATGTGTGGAGATATTACTGCAAAAACCGAAATTACAGAGGAAAAGAAAAGAAAGAAAGAATCGTTTTTCTCTCTGTTTTGTGAGTTAGCTTGGAGCTCTCTCGTGGGATGGAAAAGGAATGAGAAACGGAGTTTGGTCGACCAAAGGTGGGGCCTTTGTTCGCCGGTTATGCTTTTGGTTACTGAAAGCAAGCAAAACGAGCTGCTACGCAATCAGACAAAGAGATGATTACAGAGTAAAGGAAGGAAGTTAGAAAAAAAAAAACAGGGGAAAACAGGGGATGGGCCATTTTTGCTCCATTTCTGGAAGTTTTTATGAGGGCGGGCGGGCAATGAATGACCCACTTGCCTGAGAGAGATTAATATATATTTTAATGGAGTCGGGGTAAATAGATCCGACCCGGGATTGGATTATAGATGCTGAGGTTTTAGATTAAGGGTTTTAGGAGGAATAGTGGATTGGAGGGACTTGATTTGTATGTAGCTTTGTCTTCACAAAATCTCAATTCTTGGATTACAAGTGAGTTTTGCTTCAACTAACTTGAGTAGATATTTGCATATTTTCCATGTGTCATCTATCTATACATAATATTATGACAATTCAAAAGTAATTGTTTGCCACCTAAGTAATTGGAGAGCTCACAAATTGCCAAGGTGGACAATATTTTTACAAAAAGAAAAATAGTTATTGATATATTTATGGAGCTATCTCTCTCTTCATTTAATATTTCATTTCCCTTTTATCCTTTTTTTTTGTATTATCAATGTACACAATAATAAATAATGTATGAAAAGTGACATATATTACATTTTTTATCTCTAACTTTTTTAATATTTATTTTTCTTTTCCAATACTTCCTTTATGTTTTAGTTTTTACTTTTGCATTGTATAGATGTACGCAACAATAGACTAATGTCTTTGAGTCACACATATAACTTTTTTTTCAACCAAAAAAATATCTTATTAAAGCTCACTAAGTAAATTTTTAACTCACTTTTACAATAATTTACAAATATGTTACATTTTGATGAACAATTTATACAAACACACATACATAATAACATTTTATCGCGACAAAATAACGATGAAAATTAAAGAGAGAAAACAAGAAACGTTTGAATAGAAACTTGACCAAGCAATAAAATCTATTTCTTAAACAAAAACCTTATTCATTCTAATTAAGTGAAAAAATATGAATCATAGGTGCAATAATTTACTATGTATCCTAAGTTCAAATTACTAATATGTTGCATTTTTGCTCTAGATCGTGTTAATTTAGCAAACTCTACTGAAGTTTTACGTCATATGTTAAGAAATTTAATTTTCAGACTTGGAGTAATAATTTTTCAAGGATTATAAATCAAAAAATTTAAAATGACTTCGTATGATTGTTGATGAACTTGACTTTATATCTTAAGATGAAAAAAGAGATACATTAAAAAATGATACATGTGAAAGTTAAATGAATCTTTGCTAAACTGTATGTTAGACATCATGTGTTCATCAACCACTGACCTATGAAGCAAGATTAGAGAAGTTAATCATCGTAAGAGGTATGATCTTTCTTAGCTAACACATACATTTTTTTTTGCAATAAAACACATGCATAAATAATAATATATTTACGAAATAAAATAATTCGATGAAAATTCAATGGAGCAAGAATAGATCACCTCATTGGATAAATGAAGATGATAAGTAAGAATAAATTTTCTCTCACTTATAATATGTCCTTCCATCCCTTATTTTCTTTTACAATTGTTCATATTTCCCTTATTTTCTTAACATTTTACAAATCCCGGTAAAAAACAAGCATTAATTGCACTGAAAAATAATTAATCTCTTTTTAATTTATATGCTTATATATTGACAATAAATGTGGCAATACAAAAAATGCATATATTAGTATAAGTAATGAAGTTTTTATTTCTAAACAAATACCAAACATAAATAAATTTTAGAAAACGGAGGTTCTACAAGTTGTAAAATTATACACTAACGCATTATATTAAGATCAAAATTCGTATGTGAGTATCTTGGATTTAGATTCTAAAACAATATATAAACAACGACAATGAGTCTCAGTTAGTCCAAATTAAATTTCATAAATTAGCAATTGATACATATTGTATAAAAGACTAAATACAAATAAGATCTTACAGTAAACTTATGAACATTCAAAGTGTCAACTTTAAATTGGGATGAAGAAATTTATCCAATAATGAAGTATATATACAAAGAAACTCTCCATAAGATGTCCTCATCTGAACAACATGGATTCATAATAAGATAGAAAAAATTGTACATGGACGTGGTATACCTTTGTGACATGGTTTATGATTAGAGAATTCAAACAGTATAAGTGAATGTGCTAAGTATTGAGAATTTTCAATATATAGACACACCACATACTCACTTATCAATACAAAATATAATAAATTTAGAAGTTCTAAAATAGTTTAAACATATAGATAAATTGAATTAATGTCAACGATAAAATGAAACTCTCCGGCCAACGGGCCGGGTGAAAAGCTAGTTTGTGAATATGAAAGTTCAAAAAGAGATTAAGAAAATGGGTTGAACTCAAACTATCGTCGATTTATTTATGTCGGGTTGTGCATTAACGGTGATGTAATGGGTTGCATATTGTTTCGCTTTATCGAGGTAGAGTAACAAGGTAGGTCCATTCACCTTGTATGGTCACGAACTCATGATCCACTGCCCACTGGCAAAAGAGTATGATTCTTAACTCGACGGTCGCTATCACCGTTCGACAGATCATCCTCTTGTACATTATAGTACGAAATTAATCAAATCATGCGCTTTAAATTGCCTTTTGTTGTGATTGAGCTGACAACGATGATGATGAAGGTTTACCCTCACATTCTACCAGGGGTCTCTCATTAGGAATAAATTCAACCGTTTGAAAGTTAATTACATTAGTTAATCAAGCTAGTTCCCAAAAATGAAACTTCCTAGAATTTTATATTTCCAAAAAGTGCCAGCATAGGCAATTTGCAGAGGGACACAGCCCAATCAGATTCAGTCCACCTGCCCTAGATTTGTATTGAAGGGTTTGTTAATGGCAGTCCCTTAAATTTTGGGGCAACTTCCCTAGATGGTCAAAGGTCAGAGATCCACATGCATGTTTGTTGAGCTTGATTGTCATTTGTATTATAAGTTATTAGGACCATTGCCCCTTAATGTCATAAGGTCATCTGGTTAGGCAAACTATCATTGTCTTTGATGGTGAAGCCCTACCAGAAAACTCCCAGGCTGAGTCATGCTCTCTAATTTATCAACCAAATCCAATGTCAATTTGCCACATAATCCTTACAAATATGTTTGGTAACTAGTATTGTTAGTTTTTTTTTTTTTTTCTTCTTCTTCATTTCATCATTTTCGGATACGATGGTCACAAAGCAACATTCTAATGCATTAAAATACCCAGATTTATTTAATTTCCTCGTATTTTGTTCCCATGGATGGACTCTCTATATAACCTGAATCCTAAAAAGATGAAGTTTGACCATAGTGGGCAAGGAAATTAGCGGGACAAATTCGTCTTCGTGAATGTGTATCATTCTATTGATCGTTGAGAAGTTGACAAATCACAACTATAACGATCATATAAAACTAAACAGATCGGTTATGTCATTCAAATGGAGGGCTGATCGTCATGATCCGGTTTCTCGTGTAACCCAAAGATGTTGTAGATTTTCCACACCACTAGGAAGGAACATGTATGGTGACATATGTTGTCACAAGATCCTCGTTTATCATGGGCAAGATCAAGAAGCTAATTCACATGGCCAGGCAGAAATCTGTATCAATATTCGCAGGAATAACTAATAAAGAGCCAATTTATATGAATTTGTGGAATATTGTGCTTTACACATTGTAGCTTTGAAATTTTGAGTATAATGTACACACCACCTTCCTCGATCTTTCACATTTGATAAGGCAACCCAACAACTTGCAGCAGATATTATCAAATCCAAAATTTCTGACTCTTATAGAGAATTTTTTGTATCGAATTTTTTTTACGAAAATACAATACCAACTTAAAATTAGACAAATATTTTTATTATGGAGACAATAAATTTCAATTAGGCAACTCAAACACACGACCCTCACAAAGAAAGACTTTATGAGGAGGTGTCAGGCTGTCAGCCCAATGTAGAGGTGGGTGACAACTGACAATCCATCATAAAATTGAACAGAAAACATATGTATTTCGAGAACATATCATTGTCTAGTTTATGACTTAACAAACATATGTATTTTAAAATTCTAAAAGCTATAACTCATTTGGGGAAACTTACCACTAGATATAATCCTCTACACCTATTGCAAGAAGTCAATAATATTAATTAACTAAAATTGTATTATAAATAGTGGTTGCATTTTGTTTTTTTTAATTATTGCATAAACCAACAACTTGTGTAGTTGACAAGCTTTGTTAAATTAAATCTATAATCTGACATTTTTAAATGTACACTTTTAAAACCACAGTGCTAAGCAAATAATATCAGCAAAACATCCAAATGGGTTCAACTGGTAACAACGTAAAGTATATCACAATTTACTCTCAATTCCAAATCCACAATTTAATCATTTTGACAAAAACTCATTGACGAATACCAACAAAAATGTAAGCCCAACCCGTCTAATATTTTCATGAGATCGAAATAATATCGAACCGCTTGTTCCGTGGTCCCTCATAGTCATGTGAAACAAAACAACATCAGCAAAAGGAAACAACCTAGAAAAGTGAACTAAGTACACTAATTACCAAATGTGCAAGTGGGACACTGAGATTGAGTAGATCAAAACCTAAGAAAAGAGGGTTTGTTAGATTTCTATCTTCAGCAGCAGCAGCAGTTGGGTCCATCATCATATTTCAGAGGGTTGGTTATCATCAT